CCCCCAGCACCTGCACCCTGCTTCCCGTAGCCTCTACGCGGAGCCAGAATTTCTGACCTTTGCCTCTGACCTTTGCCTTCTGCCCATTCCCAGAAGGAAAACAGAAAGGCTAGCTCTGGGGGCAGGGTCTCGGGTGGGCTGGTAAGAACGGGGTCTGGAGGTCACCCCCACTCCGGGAGCGCCTCCTCTTGAGTCTTGACGCAGCAGCTGGGCACAGAGATGCGCGAGAGACCAGCTACCTGTGGCTCCGCGGGCCCAGCTTTAGATCTGCTCTGGCCGCAGGAGGGGCGCAGCGTGGCCCGCAGGTTCCAGTGCCCCCTGAAACAGAAGTGCAGTGGAGAGAAGGGTCCCAAAGACAGAGGACGGCATCTAAAACAGGAGCCGGGCCAGGGAGGGCGTGCTGGGTGACAGCGGATGGCCCGACAGGGGTTGACAGTGGAGAGGAGGCCCAGACGGATTCCAGAGAGACACAGGAGAACGGAGATCTGCTGATGGACAGGAGGCCTTGGGACACAGCCAGGTGTCCAGAAGCGGGTGGGTGGAGGAAGTGCCTCTGGGAGATGGGGGTTTGGGGGAGGGCCCCAGCGGGGGGGGGGGTGCTGAGCACCTGGAGGCCCAGGTGGACTGGGGAGCTGTGGGAAGGAGAGTGAGAGAGCAGGGGAGTGCAGAGGATGAGGTGGGAGTGCCACCCTGGAAGCCACAGACATGAGAGAATGTTCTAGAAGGAGGACAGGACGGTTAGGGTCCCAGGATGTTGAAAGGGCAGGAAAGAGGAGGCCCCAAAGTGTTCACGGGGTCTGGTGACCCTGAACTCACTGGAAGCCTAGCAGGGGCTGGGGGGATTCAGGCTTTACACTCAGGGGGGTGGGCGGGGGAAATGGGGGAGGAGAGGGCACCCTCAGGAGGGTGAGTGAGGGCAGAAGTCTGAGGGGGAGGGGGTGTCCCACCTGGCTCCACTGAGCAGCAGCCCCCGCAGGAGTCGGGTTGGCGGACTGCCAGTGAGCCGAGCTGGAGGGGCCCTGAGAGCCCAGGTCAAGGGGACACCCAAGGGGCCGCCCTGCCCCCACCCAGCCGGCCTGGCCCGGGGCGCACTCGGAGGAAGTGTCCCCCAGGGCCGCGGTGGGGGTAAGTGGAGTCCAGTCCCTGAGCAAGTCAGCGCGGCACCCGGGAAAGGAGCGGGGGGCACGGGCGGGGCGGGGCGGGGCCGGAGGAGGGGACGTCGAGTCACAGCCCCCCCCCCCCGCGTCTCCTGGGCCCGGGGATGGCGCAGGCCCGTCGTCACCCAGCCTCTGCCGGCCAGTCCCAGGGGTGGGGGTCCGCGGGGTAGCCATGCGCAGGCAGGGGACCGGGCGCGTCCCGAGGCCGGAGGCGGGGGCGGGGGCGGGCGCCAAGGAGGGGGCGGGCGGGACCCTCCGTGCCGCCCCCTCCCCCCACCCCGCCCCCCGCGGGGCCGCTCCCGCCCCCGCCCCTCCGCCTCCGCCGCCGCCGCCGCCGCCACCCAGCGTCGCCGCCGCCGGAAAGTTTGCGCGCGGCTGGCGCGGGAGCGGAGCCGGCGCCGACCGAGAGCGCGGAGGGCAGCGAGGAGCGGGATCCGGAGCGGGATCCGGAGCGGCACACGGTGAGCACCCGGCCCGGAGGGGACGCCCCGGAGCCGACCCGGCCGGGGGGCTGCGGAGTAGGCAGCTGGCGGGGACCCCTGTCTTGGGACGGGCGGTCTCAGGGCCCCGCGGTGTCGCCGTCCTCACCCGGTGACACCTCCGTCCGGATCCGATTCGCCCTTCCAGCCCAGATGGGTCAACCAGGTCCCGCACCGTCGGGCAGTCTGGGGTCTCTTCCCTGGGGCGGCAGCCGGGGTTGCGAGGTGGCCCCGGCTGCTGAGCCCTGCCCCGCGCCGGGTCAGCTCTCCGCTCCCACCAGCTCCGCCGTTGGCCGCCCCCCAGGGGCTCCCCAGAGACCCCCGGCCTGAGCAGCCCTGCTTCCCGATTTGGCTCCAGCTCCCCAGGACTCCCTCAGCATCATCCCGTCTACCTGCCGGGCCCCAGGAGGGGGCGAGGGGCACCAGGACCCCACCACGCCCATTCCTCCGTGGGGCCCACACTTGTCACTTTGACCCCCAGCGGCGGCCAGTCGCTGTCCTCTGCTCGGCGCCGCTGCCACCACCCCAGGACCCCACCCCTTGCCCACTTCCAGGCCTGGGGGTGTCTGTCCCCACCCTGAACCGACTGACCCCTGACGTCTGGGCACCCGCATGATCAGGGGTCTGGCCCTGGCTGTGTCCGGGTCCTTCTGTGCTGGGGACGAGGGGACGAGCTGGGGAAGTGAACCCTGGCGGGCATCCAGCTCTGCCCCGCCCCTCAGGGGTGGGGAGGACACAGGACTCAGGCTTTGTCAACAGCCGGTGGCCCCTGATCCTGCCCTGGGGCCATGACCTTCCAGCTACTTGCTCTGGTTTCACAAAAACACTCCCCCCTCACCTTCCACCTCATACCCTTCTGAGGCTGGGAATCCTCAAACCCGCCCATTTGGATTAGGGGACAAATGGGGGTGGGGGTGACCAGTGCCGCCTCGCCGGTTCCATGGGCCATCGCCCCATCTGGGGGCCCCTCCTCCGGCTCCAGCCTGGGAGTGCGTCAGCTGGTGGGATGGCGGCCGGGCCCTGAGCACCCAGGAGTGGTGCCTTCGGCCAGGCTTGGGGCAGGGCGCCCCCGGCAGGCAGGCGGAGGGCGAGGGGAGCATCCAAGGGGGGAGGGAGAGGGCTGGGAAGGGGGACTGGAGGGGAGCTGGGGCCTGGGGAAAGACCTCCCGAGAGGCCCCTGACTCTGACTATCCACTTGAGCCCCTGCCCACATCTCCAGCACTGGGCTGACGTTTGTGCAGGGGCAGTAGGGAGGAGGGTCGGGTCCCCAGAGGCCGTGCCCCACCCCCACTGGCTCAGGCTCGGGTAATAAGGTGGAAAAGAGCGAGCTCTGGGGCTGCGGCCAATGGGAGGCTGGGGGGCCCCGGAGCTGCACCTCTGCTTCTGAGCACCTCATCATCTCGGCTTCAGCCGCCATCCGATTCAGCAAATATTTATCCCGGGGCTGGGTTTCTGTGCTCCCCCTCGGTGGGGGGGCGGGGGCTGGGCGCGGTCATCCGTGTGGCAAAGCTCATTTACTCTTCAAGATGAGGAAGCAGGGATCCCCACTTTACAAATGGGGAAACTGAGCCTCTGAGAAGTTAAATTCTTTGCCTTTGGTCCCAGGGTCAGAACGGGGCTGGCATGTGATGTGCCCGCCCTTGTGGGGCCGGCCTCACGTCTGGGGGCTGAGAGTGGGGGGCCTGAGCCCCTCAGCCTTGAGCTGCCGAAAGTCAGCAAGGTGAGCTCCCCCTTTCCGGCCTGTTAGTGAGGGGCCTCCGGGCCTGCCCGGCCGCCACCCCCAGCTGTGGTGTGAGCGACTGGCTGGCCCTGCAGCTCTGCCGCCCCATCCCTAGCTGCGGGCAGTGTCCTTCCCCCCATGCCCCCTCCCTACCTGCAGCTCCGCTGGGCGCTGGGCCCCAGCCAGCCCTTGCCTCCCCCTCCTTGCCTCTCAGGCCACCCCTGCACCGCTGAGCCTGCCACCCGGCCCTCCCCTCCCGCCTGCTCCTCACCCTCCAGCTCAGGGGGGCGGGGCGGCAGACCGTGCTGGCCGGTCAGCATCAGGAGCCAAGGGCCCCTGGGCGGCCCCCGGGGCTGGGGATACCTGAACTCCCCTCGTTCTCCATCTGCCGCTTTCTTTGCCAAAAGAGTCCTCCGTGCTGCGGCTCCTCCACTTCTGAGCCCTCAGCTTGCGTGTCCCCTCACCGGGCTCGGAGCCGGGACCAGGGGCCGTCGGGTGAGGCTTCCACCGGGCCGGGCCTGCACCCGTGATCAGGGGCTGGGTCAGGAACCCCACGTCGGTGCCCATCCTGCATCACTGAGCTCTCACGCCACGTGGTGATGTCTCAGGGTCCCCTCAGGGGTGAGGGTGAATCTCAGGGGAGCCTTAGGTTGCGCTGGCCCCGCAAGGGCCCAGCTGGACCCTGATAAGAGGAGGCTGAAACCTTCCACCTGCCTGCACCCCGTCCCGCCCCCCCTTCCCCCGGCCGTTCACTGTCTTCCAGCCAACTGGTTGTCTATCTGTCCGCCCATCCATCCGTCACTTGCTCACTCCTTGCCAGGGTGCCCAGAGAAGGGCCCATCCAGAGCCCTGGAGCATGCAAGTCACTCCCACACTCAGGCCTTCAGGGGCCCCTCCCTCCTGCCCTCCTGGGATTCAGTCAGAGCAGAAGACGTCTCTGGAAGCGAAGAAAGGAGAACTGATCTGCTGCCGCAGATCTCCGCTCAGACTCAGGCCGGGCCCGGGGCGCCCCTGCCGGCACCCCCAGGGCAGGGGGCCCGAGCCTGGGTGCCTGGCAGCCAGCGTTAATCACCCCAAAGGCACGTGCCGCCAGCCACCTGCACGATGTGCCCCACGGGACCCGGAAAGCCAGGCCTGATCCTCGGGTGGGGCCGAGAGGGCACACCTGGACCCCCAGTCCCGGGAAGAGGGCATGTGTGTGACGGGACCATCCTAGGCATGTGCCCGGCACCCCTGGACCCCAGACGAGGCCGGGAGCTGGCCGGGGCCATCTTGATAACCCCAGCGCCGTGATGGATGGCCCTGGCACCCCGCCCCAGCCTGGCAAGCCGCCTTTCCCAGGGGCTAAGAATAGGTGGGGAGGATGGCGAGAGCCGAAGGGAGGAGGGGGAGCTAGGGGCGCTGCTTCAAGCTGCTTTGCTGCCAGGCAGGATGGTGGCCGCCACCGGCACGGGGCGGGGGGGCGGGGAGGCCGCGGGGCTCCGGGGCTGTCAGAGCTGCAAGACGGAGCCACCAGCCGTGGGAAACCCAGCTCCACCCGGGGGAGACGGCACAGCCTCCACAACCCGGGGCAGCGCCTCCTGGCACAGGGCCGGACCCCGACCCCGTCGTTGGCAAAGAGCGACTTCTTATGGCATCTTCTCCCTCCCAGCCCCCACCTCGCCAGTAGGACCGGAGGCTCAGAGGGGCGGCTTCAGGGAAGCAGGAAAGCCTGCCGGTCCGGCAGAGCCCAGCTGGCTCTCCTCACCCGGTGGGGGTCCCTCCGCAGGCCCCGCCGCTGCCCCTGCACAGCCCCGGAGGCGCGTGCGTGCCCAGGAGGACCCCTTGGCCTCGGCGGTGTCGTCCCAGCCAGATGTGGGGGGCGGCCGCTCAGAGGCATGCCCCCCGCCCGACCACGCCGCCGCCACCTCCTCCTGCTGCTGCTGCTGGCCTGTCAGGTGAGCGCCGCCAGGGGCCCCGCCAGCCTCCCCGCGCTCACGCCCACCGCCTGCCTCCCCCTGACGCAGCCCGTCCCCTGTCCCCTCGCCCCCCTGCCCAGCCACAGGTCCCCCTCGCCCAGGTGATGGACTTCCTGTTTGAGAAGTGGAAGCTGTACGGCGACCAGTGTCTCTACAACCTGAGCCTGCTGCCCCCCCCCACCGGTGAGCCCCCAGCCTCTCACCACGTCCCGTCCCCCCACCCCCTGTTTACAGGGGAGCCTCAGAAAGGCCAGTCAGCGACTTACCCAAGGCCACACACCAGGAAGGAAAAGAGCTGGCCCAGAACCGGGGGCTGCGCAGCGCCCCTCACCCCCGTCGCTGGTCCCAGGGCTCACGTCTTTACCCCGTGGAGCCTCAGGCCCGGCGGGTGGACGGCGTGGCGGGCGAGGCCCGGGCACAGGGGCAGATGGGCCGCCGCGCAGACGGCCCAGGCGGGCACGGGGTGCACAAGTTCGAGGGTCACTTGGCGTGGAGCGAGACATCAGGGCGGGCGGAGCTGCCCGGAGCCCGGGAGCCACTGTCCGGCGGAGGGAGAGGGCCCGTGCCGGGCAGAGCAGAGGAGGGCGTGCGAGCCACAGAGTCGGTGCGGCCCCCAGAGAGGGAGGCACCGCAAGGGGGGCGTTGGGAGTGTGTGCGGGGAGGTAGCCGGGGTGGGGGTGGGGGTGGGGGGGCGTCTGAGACTCAGTCCCCGCCCCCGCCCTGCCTTGCAGAGCTGGTCTGTAATAGGACCTTCGATAAGTACTCCTGCTGGCCAGACACCCCTCCCAACACCACGGCCAGCACCTCCTGCCCCTGGTACCTGCCCTGGCACCACAAAGGTAACCGCGGGGGGGAGGCGGGCTTGGCCTGGGGGGCCCGGGCCGGGCGCTGACCTGCCCCTGCCCCTCCAGTGCAGCACCGCCTCGTCTTCAAGAAGTGTGGGCCCGACGGGCAGTGGGTGCGCGGGCCCCGGGGGCAGCCGTGGCGAAATGCTTCTCAGTGCCAGATGGACGACGAGGAGATTGAGGTCCAGGTCGGCCCGCGGCGCGGGGACGGCAGGGGCGGCGGGGGGCGGGGCGCGGTGGCACCCCATCCCTGACCGGCCCCCACGCTTTGCAGAAGGACGTGGCCAAGATGTACAGCAGCTTCCAGGTGATGTACACGGTCGGGTACTCTCTCTCCCTGGGGGCCCTGCTCCTGGCCCTCGCCACCCTGCTGGGCCTCAGGTACACCCGCCCACCCTGCGCGCCCCCCCCCCCCGAGGCAGGGCGGGGCGGCAGGTGCGCATCGACTCACTGTCCCCGCAGGAAGCTGCACTGCACGCGAAACTACATCCACGCGAACCTGTTCGCGTCCTTCGTGCTCAAGGCCAGTTCCGTGCTGGTCATCGACACGCTGCTCAAGACCCGCTACAGCCAGAAGATCGGTGACGACCTCAGCGTGAGCCTCTGGCTGAGTGACGGGGTGAGCACCCAGCCCCGGCCTCCGGGCCTCCCAGCCCCCGGGCGGCGGGCGGCCGCGGGACCGGCGCTCACGCTGCCCCTGCGGCCAGGCGGTGGCCGGCTGCCGGGTGGCCGCGGTGTTCATGCAGTACGGCGTCGTGGCCAACTACTGCTGGCTGCTGGCGGAGGGCGTGTACCTGTACAGCCTGCTGGGCCTCGCCGCCTTCCCGGACAGGAGCTGCTTCGCCCTCTACCTGGGCATCGGCTGGGGTGAGTGGGCTGGGGCGGGGCGGAGCGGAGCCGGCTGGCCGGGGCTGCGGGACCACAGCTGCCCCCTCCCCGCAGGCGCCCCCGTGCTCTTCGTCGTCCCCTGGGCAGTGGTCAAGTGTCTGTTCGAGAACGTCCAGTGAGTGTGGGCCGGCCTGAGGAGAGGTGCGGGGGTGGCGGGGGGCTCGGCTCTCCTGGCCCCCAGGGTGCTGGGCTGGGTGTGCGGGCAGTGGCTGGATGGCACTGGGGGGGGGTCTCGAGGCAGGGGTAGGGACGGGGGTGGGGGCTGGGGGGAAGCAGCCTGCCCAAGGGTGAGGGTCATCTATGACGGTCTCCCTCCCTCCCCCGAGGCACTACTGAGACCCCCACGGGCGGGGGCGGGGGAGGCGCAGGCGGGACGCGGACCGGCTCCGCCTTGCAGGTGCTGGACTAGCAACGGCAACATGGGCTTCTGGTGGATCCTGCGCTTCCCTGTCTTCCTGGCAACCCTGGTGAGGACGCGAGGCGCCACGGGGAGGGCAGAGGCTGGCCGCGCTCGGCCCGGCCTCTCCTGTGCCGGCCTGGGGGCCCGAGGAGGCAGCCAGCAGTCCTGGCGGACAGGGAGGGAGGCCCTGGCCCTCAGCTGGGGCGCTGGCCGGGCACCCACCGGCGCCAGGCCCAGCCACAGGAGGGCCAGGTGGGGGCGCAGGGGCTGCCCTGAGCTCTGCCGTCCACACACAGATCAACTTCTTCATCTTCATCCGCGTCCTTCTCATCCTCGTGGCCAAACTGCGAGCCCGCCAGATGCGCTACACTGACTACAAGTTCCGGTGGGTGCGGGGCGCTTACAGACCCAGAGACCGGCAGGGACCGGGGGAGGGGGGAGCGGGGGGGCGGGGAACAGGTCCCCCGCGGGCAGGGCTGGGGCCGGCGGCTCAGGCTCCCTTCCGCAGGCTGGCGAAGTCCACGCTGACCCTCATCCCCTTGCTGGGGGTCCACGAAGTGGTGTTTGCCTTCGTGACCGACGAGCACGCCCAGGGGACCCTGCGCTCCGCCAAGCTCTTCTTCGACCTCTTCCTCAGCTCTTTCCAGGTGCCGGCCCTGTCCTGCAGCCGCCTGGCCCCCTCCTGGCCCAGGTGCGGCCCTGACTGCCTTCTCTCTCCAGGGCTTGCTGGTGGCTGTTCTGTACTGTTTCCTCAACAAGGAGGTAGGTGGGGAGGTCTGGGGCCAGGCCTGCGGTTGGGGTCGGAGGGGAGCATAGGTGCCCTGGCCTCACCCATGCAGGGGGGTGGGGCACTCGTGTCCATCTGCGTGGTCACGCTCACCACGATGCCGAGTGCTGGCCCCAAGACGGCCAGCCTTAGCCTGGCGCTCATGCTGTGCACGGTGAAGCGGGGGGCCAGGAATCGGAAGACCCCAGGGTCCCGTGGTGGTGCAGCCTGCCTTGCTCTACACCCAGGGCACCCAGCAGTCCTTCAAGGCTGGGAAGTTGGGGGTCCTGGGGGGGGTGGGACTGGCCTAACCTGCCCCGCCCCCGCCCACCCCCCCCCCAGGTGCAGTCGGAGCTGCTGCGGCGCTGGCACCGCTGGCACGTGGGCAACTCGCTGCGGGCGCAGCGCCACGTGCGCGGGCCCTCGGCCTCAGCCCGGCCCGGGGGCGGCCCCCCCGGCGAGAAGCCACTGCTCTCCAGGGGCGGAGGCGGCAGCAACGGGGCCAGCCAGGACCCCTCTGCAGAGACCTGCCTGGTCAGCAGCCTCCCTGGGGCAGTTGAGAGCCCCTTCTAAAGGCCCCTGGGGCCCCGGTGGAGACCGGAGTCGGGCGCCAAGAGAGGGCACCTGCTGGACAACCCAGAACCCAGGCCGGAGGGGCAGGAGCCAGACAGTGGCCCCACCGCCCCCCTGCCCCCCAGTGTCCTGGTCTGAGGAGTGGGGCCTCCCTTCTACACGCCTGCCCTGTGCTGCAGAGTGGGGGGCGGGGTCCGAGGGGAAGCTGCTCTGTGAGTGCCTTGCAGGTGTCCCTGGTGCTTAGGGACGTGTCTCCTCCAACAATAAAGAGTCTGAGCAGCGGCTGCACCCCGTGGAGAGCTGGGCTGAAAGAGGGCTGGGCCGGGCCCCGGGCCTCCCCATGGAAGGGAGCAGCCTTGGACGGGGCCTGCAGCTGGTGTGCTGCCTCTGGGAGCCCCCCATTTTGCCGATAACTTGGAGCTGGAACCCCTCGTGGGGCGGGGGGGTCCCAAAGCATGAGCAGTGGCTGACAGCGCTCCTCCCCATCCCCGCTGGAGCAGTGTCTGGCCACCCTCCCATGCTGGTTTAGGTGGGGCTCACCCACACCCTGGGCCAGAGTGGATGGTCCCTTCGTTTTGGCTCCCAAACCCCAGATGGTCACATCTGCCAGCAGAGGGATGCGAAGGGGCAGGTGATGGCTGAGGAAGGTCGGCAGGCACCACGCTCCTTCCGTGAACCCCATGCGAATACTTCTGGTTCTTTCCTGGAGCCAGGGCTGAGCTCAGGCCCGATAGGGGCATCAGCAGACAATCCAGGACTGAATATCTTCTACTGGCCTCTACTCAGTCCCGGCTCTGGCCACACCAATTCACAGACCATATAGCAGACGAAGCGGGAAGGAACAGCTCGTGCCCCCCCCCCGCCCCCCAAATTGAAATGGTAGGAGTGATGGCAGTGGCGCCATTTTCCCAAGACCTCTGCGCAGTCCCGAGATGTTCGTTTAGCAAAGAGGCCCGATCCACACCACTCAAGCGTGTGGAAGGGCAGGCAGCCGTGGGCAGCAAGGACACTTCCCACGGCATGATGAGTGGGCACCTGCTTGGCGGGCAGCAAGGGCTGGTGTTCACCAGGGAAGAGTGGAGGCTCAGGAAGACCCAGGCAGTGCACTTAGGCGGGGAACCCAGTTGCTTGGGGATGCGCCCTAAGGTGCAGGCTGCCATCTTGGGGATAGTGTGCGTGATGCAAGGGGCGGGGGCAGGGGCAGGGGCCGGAGCCGGTGTGGGGACTGTGGTCACCCCTCCAAGTGCCTGCGCGGCCAGTGCTGTGACACCGGCGTGGAGGTGTCAGAGGAGGAAGGAGCCAGAGGAACAGAGCACAAGCTAGACCAGCCTGCCGGGTGTCCCTGCTTCAAGGACCTGGGAGGTGACCACTGGGCGCTGGGGTGTGGGGTGCCCACAGCCCCCACAGGCCACGTGGGCTGGAGCTGCTCAGGCAGAGCCAGGCTAATTGGAGAAAATGAGAGGACAGAAGGCCTCTCAGGAAAGGTAAATAAAATTACTCACCCGCCAGGCACTGGGGCCCTCCTGAGGGGGCCTTCACCCTGTGCCGCCCACGCCCACTGCAGGCCCGGATGTGGCAGGGAGTGAAGTGAGGAGGGGTGGCCAGGGAGGGGCTGGAGACTAGTTAGGGGAGACTGAGCTCTTGCGTGACCGAGGTGGGTCGCCAGCGTCACTGCGATTGACGGGAGTCTGCAGAGCAGACTGTACCTCTATAGGACTGGTGGGCAGTGCCAGTCATGCAGCTGGAAGACTGAGGGCCTTGACGTAGAGGCTTCAGGCTACCTCTTGTGCCAGAACCTCCCAAGCCCCTGCCCACAGGCCACCCCTACCAGCCAGCCCTGGATGCCTGGAAGCCTGTGTGGGCACAAGGACAGCCTAAGTTCTCCTTCACGCCAGCTGAGCTCAGGGGTGGTGACTGCCTTGGGGAGTATGCCACTCACCTAGTGGCCCCTGACAGCCCCCCCCATCCTGACTCCCTCTGCCCTTATCCTCCTTCACCCTTGTCCCTGTCCCCAAGGGAACTGGAGCAGACCGGTAGAGCCGAGGGTGGAGGCAGAGGTCTGGCAGGGGCTGGACTTGCCCAGCCAATAAACACTGGCTCTGACCAGGCAGCTGTGCAAGTAGGGAGGAGGGGGGTGGTTTGAGAAACCCGCTTTCTCATAGCCCAGCAACCCCACATCTCTCTGCCCAGGAGAATGAACACTCCAGGCCCTCTGCCTTCCTCACCTCTACTACAGTCCTTCACCTCAGGCCTTTCCCCCCAGAGAATACATGGGTACTGTCTTGCATGTGTGCACATGCATATGTGTGTACATACATGCTACTAAAATGAGTGTGAAGAACCAGAAAGAGGAAAACCTGGACTACAATAAACAGGGATCAAACCTAAGAGAGTTGAGGGGTCATTCCCCAGAATGGCAGCTGTCTAGCAGGCTGAATGCATCACTAGAGGCAGGGGGCTTCAAGCAGGGCAGAAAGCTCCAGGAGAGACACCCTCAAGAGGACCAAAGTAACTAAACAAACCGAGGGGAAATTTGGATGACATGGTGGAGAGTTCAGGACTTAACTAGTGTTAGTACATAGAAAATTAGGCAAATGAAAAAGGAAGGCAATTAATAACTTCAAGGAAAACAAAAAGTTGGGCAGAACAGAAAAACTTTCACAACTTACCACATGGTTCAGCTCCGAATACAAATATAGTCACCATAATATAATCAACACTGATGTAACCAAAGTTAGGGGAGAAAAAAAACCGTCTAGGAAGAATGGTGGACGGGAAGAGCATATGTATGTAGCAGTAGCGTGGGGAAGAGGAGAATGAGATCGGAAAATCAAGAAGGAACAGCGTATATATGCTATTTAGAAATAGAAATACAAATCAAAGAATCAGCTGAAGATCTGAAAAAGGTTGCTTGTGGGTGGGGGGAGAGTGGGGAGAAGACAGGGCTGCTGGCCCACTCTGAGCTGCCTTCATCTCTTCCTGGATGTCTTGGCCACCCTCAGCCCCAGGTCCTCCCCGTGCTTGCTCTTTCTCTGACCTCATTTTCCACCGCTCAGTCCCTTTTCCTGCTTCCTCCTCCCCTGCCTGACAGCGCCACCCAAGGATCAGGCCACCATCCTCCCTTCTTCAATCTGTGAAAACTTATCTTTCTAGATGGTTCCCAATTTTATCTCCAGCCCCTGTGGCTCTCCCATATCCACACTTTGGACCCATCTTCCTACTTAACACCTCAAATCCCACAATCCACCTAGAGCTCCTCACCGGCTCACCCCCACCCCCAGCTTCCTCTTTCTCGAGTTCACTGAGGTAGCCCTAATGGGTCTACTTCTACCCTGAATCTGCCTACAACCCGGTCTCAACATTAGCAGCCAGAGTGATCATATTACATCCAAGGTCTCTTCCTATGAATCCCATCAGGCCTTTATATCTCACTTCAGTTTACGGAAATGCGGGGGACAGAGGAGCCCAATAACAGAAGGATGTGACTGGGCAAATCCAAAATGTGGGAGACTCCACTCTGAAGCACCCAAGGGTCTTCAATACCGTAATGGGGCAGGGCAGCTCTAAGACTCAGGGGACGTGTCACGCAGAAGCAGCTGATGCACTTTGCCTTCCCACCCTGAGTTCAAAACCCACTGAAAACGTTTTTAGATAAGGGAAATGTGGACTGGGTATTAAATATTTGGGAATTCTTTTTCATGCTCAATACACATGAACATGCTCAGTATTTACTAAATTAAAATTTTGACAAAAACTAAAGGCCTAAAATGTGGATAAGGTCAGTATCTTATAGGAGGCCACCATTTCATTTGTGAACATAGGGTAATAAAACTTGCCCCACAGAGTTGTCAAGATAGAATGAGACGGCGCTGTGCACATGTGCAGCATAGAACGTGGAGAAACGGATGCAGCCCTCGCCCACCACGCTGCCCGCTGCCTCGCTGTTGAGAGGTGAGGCGTCCCCAGCCACTGGCAGGCAGCCACACAGCGCCGCTGAAGACCCCCAGTGCTTGGACGGGGAGGTGGCAGCACAGCTGGGGCTGGGCTCAGACCATAGGACCCATGCCCATCAGGGAGCTGGGCCAGGCCAACAGGGAGGACTTCCGCCCAACCACCACCTCCCACGAGCTAGCACCCCTCCACCCCATGTCTGCCCCTTCCCCCTGGTCCCCAAGACCCCCTTTATGATCACAGAGTCCTCACCCATGAGTCATAATCTCCAAATGGGGTATCTGGACCTCAAGTTAGGGAAAGGGCGGCTCCACACCTGACCAGTATGCCTCCTCCGACCCCCACCCATCCCCTGCCCCCAGAGCCTCCACCTCCAGTGTCGCCGTCGGAACCCCACCCACCCTCCTAGCACATTCCCCCCTTCCAGGTGTTCTTGGCAGAGACCGCAGGCTGAGGGCCTCCATTTCACAGAAAACCTAAGTGGGCAGGGACATGGAGAGTAAAAAGGCTCTGAGGGGTGTCCTGTGGTGGGGTGTACCGGTCCCCCACACGCAGTGGTGGGGTGTACAGGTCCGCGGATATCACCACTAGTGCAAGAAGCCGGGGAAGGTAGCTGTGGGCATTCAAGCCCTCAGCAAAACACCCCACAGGTCCCCAGGGAGCAAACAAGGCCACGTGGTTAGAGACTTGGCTCAGGGCCCGGCACTAGCCAGCGCCCACTGGCAGCGAGCCAAGGCGGCTGTTTATTGCATGACCTGTCCTTCCTGTGCCCCTTCCCTGGGGAGCCCTCCCTCCTCCGCCGGGGAAGATGCCTCCTGGAGCCACCTGTGGGGCCCCAGAATACTCTTCCAGGAAACAGTGTTCCCAAAATAAATTCCGGTTTGGCGTATCTGGGCCTGGCCTGCCAGGGCTTTCCAGGTTTGAAGGTCAAGTGCGCTTGGGTCTCTCTCAGGGCTCAATGGCCATCTCTTCATCTGAAGGGCAGCGAAGCCACTCCCCTCCAGGGTCCAGCAGGTGGGCTCAGGGCTGCAGAGGGCCTGCGGCGCCCCCACCCGTAAGAGAATGGTCCCCTGAAGAATGTAGGAGAGCCACCGCAGCCTCTCTCCCCCACAACTCCCCACGCCCACCTCCCACTGGCCCCCGTGAGACCTGAACCCCCCACAAGAACCCAGGGAGCAGATGGAATTTCTGGATTCGGGCGCCTGGACCATGACCTTGGATCTCCAGCCCTGTGTGGACGGCTGGGGCAGGGGCCTGACAGACCAAGGGGCCGACCCAGCGCCACCCACCTTTATTCACTGGCCCTTGGGCTTCAGTCACAGACACTTGGCTTTTGGAGAGCACAGGAGGAAAGGGGGGCCCTGGTGGCCATCCCAGCGCACAGCACAGGGCCAGGGTCAGCCTCATGGCCCTGCCCGAGGCGGCTGCTGTGGCCACAGGGCCGCAGACAACAAGGGACTAGGCCTGGTTGCCCAGGACCCCTTTTGAGCGGGTGCCCGGCAACACCCCAGGCCCACACAGCTGGTGCCATCCCGAAGCTGATGCAGGGAAGGAAAGGGCCGGACTGGAGAGCGGGGTGGAGACTTAGACGCTCCCCGCCACGTCCAGGCCAGAGAAGCAGCAGGACTTGGTAGGGAATACACAGCAGGTATGGCAGGGCCACCCACGTCCTGCCTCCGGGCCACCTCTGGGATAAGCCCAGCCCAGGACCACCAGCCTGGGAGACAGCAGACGCCCCCTTGGTCTCCCTCGTGGCCTTGGAAGTGGCCACGGGGGTGGGGGGTGGGGGGCCATGGGAGGTGATGGGAAGTGGAGGGGAGTCAGAGTCAAGGCCCCGGGGTGGGGTGGGGGCGGGCAGAGCCAGGCAGCTCTGAAGAGACCACTACGGGGAGAGCAGGGGCTGGCAGGGCCCAGAGCCCCCCCCGGGGACAGGGGCAGCTTGCGAGCCCCTGAGAGGAAAGGAGGGGGCTCAGGGAGGAAGGGCAGGCCTTGGCCACCAATCACGCCCGTCCTGGTGCTGGGGTTGACGGCCCCCTGGGCGCACGGCCCCTCCCCTTCCCGGGAGACCAACACGGGGCAGCACCCGGGTCTCCCAGAGGCGAGGGGGGGGGGGGGACACCGGCACGCTTCAGGACTTCTTGGCGTCAGGCGTGTTCCGGCGCTTCAGGTCACTCAGGTCGATGGGCTTGAAGGCTGTCAGGGGACAGAGTGGTCGGTGGTGGCACGGGAGACCGGGCCCCTGTCCCGCGCCTGCTTCTGGAAGCCCTGGGACCGGGTGCGCTCTGCCAAACTGTGTTGCAAGTAGGTAGCCTCCTTGCCCCCCCGCCCCACCCCTGCGCCCTGGCACGGCCCCTCCCTCCCGAGGCAGCTCCCCACTCACTCTTCAGACTGGGGTTAGGGACCTTCTCCACGTATTCCTCCACCAGGCCCCGCTCGCTGCCGGACATCTGGCTCCGCAGGTCTCGCTCCACCCCCTGCCAGGCTGCAAAGGGCAGGGGCGGCGTCAGCGTGCAGGCCCCTGCTCGGTGCCCTCACCCCTCCCAGCCCTCGGAGCTCCACCCCCGCCGCCGTTTCACAGCTGGCGGCCCCCAACCCGCCCCTGACCCGAGGCTGCCCTCAGAGCACCCCCACCCTGCCGCCGCCTCCCGGACCGGCCCCTCCGGCAGGCCACCCCCTCGTCCGCCTGGTGACCAGGGCCGCAGTCACAGGGACACACCTGACCTGCCAGCCCTCCGTCCTCCACCAGGCTCCCCACCTCTCCCACCTCCTGGCACACTCGTCACGGGCACGTGGGTGCACACGTGCTCAGACACCCCAGCCACACTCACTGACGCTCCTGGAACTGGGGGGCGCGCCGTCTGCCCGTCTTCCTCAACGGTCCCCTGTCCTCGAGGAAACCTGACCGGCTCCCAACGCGGCCTTTTCCCAGAGCTGCCCGCCTCCATGTCGAGGCCCGGGTCTCCTCACCAGCCAAGCCCCCAGTCACCCCAGCTGCTGGGCCCCTGAAGGCCGCGGGAGAGCCCGCACCCCGGGATGGCAGGAGGGGGGCTCCAGAGAGCTCCTGGCTGGGGGTGTCCCACGTACCTTCGTAAATGAAGCGCACATTCTCCTCATGGGCTGGGGTAAAGATCTCACTGCTGCTGGGGGGCGAGCGGGGGCTACTGTTCCTCTTGCCGTTGTAGACGACTCTGGAGACAGGGGAACTGGGGGGGCCCAGCATGTGAGGAAGGGCTGGGGGCAGAGTAGGGCCCGTCCCCCGCCCCCACCCCACCCCACCCCAGGTGAGGCCGCTCCACTGCCAAGACCCACCTGGTCATCGCGGGGGTGTCTGGTCCTCACACTCCGCTGCCGGGTCCCCTCGGCCTCTAAAAGAGAAGCCCAGACCCCAGAGGAGGGACAGTCACCCTCTCCACGGGCGCTCCAGAGTGGGGAGGGGTGTGGGACAGGCGCACCTCCTCCCTCAAGCTGCCGACAAATCGCCATGGGCTCACGCCATGGGGGCGCCTCACGGCTGGGGCGCAGCCCCGATGTGGGCAGAGTCAAGCACGTGGAGGCTGAGGGCCAGCAGGTGCACGTGTGCTCAGAGCAGCCTGGGTTCTGGGCAGACCCCGGCACCCGGACCACCGCTCCCCGGGAGTCCTCCCGACCCCCCACTCAGGCAGCCGGGGACGGCACCGGCAGGAGAGCCCAGGGTCCCGGGACACCTCTCAGGGAAGCGTGCGCCTGCGGGAAAGGGCTGCCACCGCCCTGGCGCACCCTGACTCCACCCTCACCGCCTGCAGGGCCCGGGTGCGGTTTCCACGGAGCCCGGTTCCCATCTGTGCAGGGACGTGCTTCCTCACAGTGAGGAGCCCGGTGGAGCCGGAGGCCCAGTGGACGCAGGGAACATGCCCAGCTTCCTGGTCCCAGAGGCCAGGGCACAAGCGAACCGGGGCCCTGCACACGGAACCCCACAGGGAAGGGGGCCCAAGGAAAGGCGTGAGCCTGGAAGCAGCAGCTGGGCCAGAACCGGGGACTGAGACCCCGGGGTGCCGCCTGGTCACAGCCTCTCTCTCGGCTGATTTTATAGCCCTGAGTGGGGGCTATTTGGGGGCTCACTCTCAAACCAGCCTGCTGGACAGGCCTCCGCTCCGGCCGACGGCACAGCGCAGGCCGGGATGCTGCCTACTGCCCACACGGGCCGGCGCCAGGCCTGGCCTCGGCACAGGATGACCCCAGGGGCCGGGGGCAGACGGAGGGGGCCTTGAACACAAGAGCCCCCGGGCCTGGAGCCCCAGCACGGCTGCGGACCCTCCCAGAGGGGTGGATGGGTGGGACGCTGCGGGGGCCTGCTCTCCGGTTCACTCAGCCGTCTCGCAAATGTTGAGGCACTTACACACCCACACAGGCAAACACAAGCCCAGACACCCAGGCAAGAATGACAAAACAGCACGGAACCCGCTTCCTGGAGGGCCCATGGAGCCCTGTGCCCCCCTCACCAGGTGACTTCTTTCCTTCTTGGACTCAGGGGTCTCACTGCCCTGGTCCCCGCTCCCGGCTGTCAGCCCCCCGAACACCAGAGCAGCGCGGGAGGCCTCTCTGGCCTAAGGGCGCCCCGGGACACTCAACCCCAGGCGCTGTCAGCAGTGGGACCCGGCGGGGAAGCTCCGGCCCCGCCACAAGATGCAGGGGGCAGGAGGACCGGCCCCGAAGGCCACTACCCAGGGCACCGCCTTCCCAGCCTCCTCTGGCTGCGGCCTCTGGGCGCCACTTAGTCTTTCAGGGCCCCCTATTCACCCTCCCAGGCTAACTCAGGCGCTCGCCCCCCGCCCGGCTCTGGTAGCGCTGCCTGCTCGCACGTGCCCTAATGGGGTTCTCTGGCCGCCTCACCTGCCCCCCTGTATCTACGGACCTAAGGCCTAACCTGGGCCGGCCCCGCAGTAGCCGGCCTGCTGTGCCTGAGACCCGAGGTCTAGACCCACAAAGCGCTCGGTCCCGACACCGGGGACGCAGCCCCACTGCCCGCCCGGCTTCCTGACCAACACAGGAGCAGGATGGGTCGCATCAGGTCCGTGTCCCAGGCCCATGCATCCCGCCTGTGAGGACTTCCTGCTTCAGCTGAGCGGGTTTCTGTTACCCGGACAGACAGGACTGCTCAGACATTCAGCAGGCTCCCACCCCCTGGGGACCTGAAGAACAAGTCTAAAATGACACTTAAAGGAGCCGCCTTCTGCCTCCCTTTGCAGCAGAAAGTCACACCCCACCGGGCTGACTGCCACAGCCCAGGTCCTACCAACCTTTCTTCCCCGAAACCTGTGGATCCTCCCACCCCCTCCAGAGCTCAGCTTCGGGCCCTGGGCCGTCACCACCAAGACCCTGCCCTGGCCCCATCCCCACCTAGACCCTGCCACCCGGCAAGACCCGGGGGCACGGGGAGGCCTCTCCCGGACAGAGACCTGGAGACGGGACAGCGACCTGCCACTCACTCGCCCTCATCGCCTCCTCCGGTGACCGGGCCTCCACTCCTGACCCCAAAGAAAGTTTCCATTAAAAGAACCCGTGAGAATGGACACCCTGAGAGCCATCTAAACCCACTACGTCCCTGAGGCGAGGGCCACGCGGCCACTGGAGGCGCACAGCAGCAACCCTAGGGCCGCCACCGCACAAGGTGCTGTGTGTCCGGCACGTTCCTGCCACTCGACAGGACACAGGCGGGAGCGCAAGAGCGGACACAGCAAGAGCGGGCCGCTGGGGGCCCCGAGGACGAGCACAAGTCGCTGACCCTTCCGGAAGGGCTGAGGACGCGCCTGGGGACCCGGGCCTGCTGGGAGCCCGGCCACAGAGGCTCAGACGGGAGAAAGGGACAGCGGGGGGACTTGTAAAGGGCCGGCTGGAGGCGAGTACGACCCGGACCGAAGTGACCACTGGGCCAGCATGACAAAATCTCCACCGACCTCAGCAGGAATGGTCTCAGCGGAGCAAAGGGAGGAAGGGGGCAGTCGGCCACGGCTGCCTGCCCATGAGGACTGGCCACGAAGCCGCGCTGACCACGGGGCATGTCCAACGAAGCAGACGGAAACCTGAGTGTGTTTACCGCCAGGGGAAAGTGCTGAGCAGGGCCACCAAAGGGGCAGGCGTGGAGGGGCCAGGTGCCCAGAGCCCTGAGGATGGTGCCACAGGCCTGGGGAAGTGCCACGGACACCTACAAGACAGGTCAAGCCATGGAGGACCATGGAGCCTCAAGTCTGGCGGGACGGAGACCTGGTGCTCAGGGGAGGGGCAGAGGCAGCGGCCCCGCGAGAGGGCAGGTCACGCACCCTAGTCACAGAGCCCTCGGCCTTCACCACTTCCCAACCACCTCCTTCTCTCCCCTCACGTGCTTTCCCCGTCTGCTCACAAGGACCACGGGGCACGATTATCTCCCCAGCTCTGGACCTCAAAGTCTCGTCATATATACTGCATTCCATCAATTCCAAGATCCCTTTTCACATTTTAATGGCCCATTTTAATGGCTGGCACGCTGATGTCTGCCAGTGTCCTCTGGTCTTGGTAAGTGAGATATAAGGGGCAGCTCAGTCACTAGTGTCTCAGATCTAATGACACGATGACAGTCCCCCCCCCATCAGTGAGCCCAGGGACATCCTTCCCAGAGCCTCTGACCAAGATCTTGTACTTGGCCCCATCCCCACCTGGGCCGTGCCATCAGGCAAAACTCGGGGGGCAGTGGGAGGCCTCTCCTGCGGCTTTCCTGGAGACCGAAGGGAAAGGGACCTGCCACTCAGGCACCCTCATCACCTCCCCCCTCCCCCAACTACCACGCCCCTCACGGGACAGCCCCCTGTACCACTCTCCCCTCCCTTGTCCTAACTCCCCTCCCTGCATGACCTGGGCCTTCTAAAGCCACGAAGCCCTCAGTCTGGCCCCAGTCTATTTCTTCAGGTGTCACTGACTGCTGGGCTCCAGCCCACCCCCCACACAGCCAGCGCCGTCACCGCAGAGAACCATGTGCTAATCCCCCCTTTGTGCGCCTTGACTCCTGTCCAAGGCTGTCTAGCCCACGGCCCCCAGGGGCTGCGTGCTGGGCACGCGGCAGGGTCCAGAGCCGTTCCGTAGCTGGTGCTCACCCAGCCCCGCTCTGCTGCCTCCGGGGAAACCCCTTCCCTCTCTGGACCTCAGAGAACTCATCTCAGCCGAAGCAGCCCCCGAGATGGCTCGCTAGGTCCTTCTGCTTGACGGCGACCCCAGCACAATCATGCGGAGCCACCACCCCAAACGAGACCTCTGTGCCTCTTTGTCCAACAGGACCGCAGACGGGACTGTCCTAGGAAGAACGTGCTAACCGGGCACTCCGGGGGTGGAAGGGCCACCGCCGACCACGGAGCACGACTCTGGACAGTGCTGGACGCCCCAAACGCAGAGCCACCCATTCAGAGGAAGGCAGAGGCCCAGGAAAGTCCGGGACGAGGGCAAGGCCGCGGAACTGCCGGCCACACGGGTACAGCAGCCCGGCAGCCGGCAACACAGGGTCTGAACCCCAAGGAGCCCCCAGCCTCGGAGCCTCCAGCGCAGCAGACAGGCCCAGGCCCAGACAGCTCAACCGACCCGAGCACCCCAGAGCCCACCACTGCCCTTGCCTGCGCCCCCACCAGGTTCCCGGGACACCCCCGATGACAACCCCTCCCTCAGAGACAAGGAGGAGGTCTTCGCGGCCGGAGCGGTTCTGTACCTTGCTCTTCCATGGGGACCAAGGACATCAGAGACCTCCTGGGGGAAGGCAGGGCACAGGGCGAGACCCGAAGCCCAGCCTCTGGCCACCCAGTCTCAAATCCTCCCCCCCCCACAGCCATACGCTTTAGGACAGGAAGGAAGATGCTACTCTGGCGTCTAGAAAAGTGGCCATGAGCATTCCGGAATCAGAATCCGTGATGCAAATAGTGGTCATTCCTTTAGAATTTCTGACATTAAATGGTTCTTAGATCCCAGTTTCCCATCATATCCTGTGTCTCTGGGGTCCTCAACCGTTTCAGCCACTAAGACTTCTCGAAAATTATGTTACCCCAGCAGGGGCCTGAATACCGCTGTACTCCATGCCCAACAGGGGCCTTCCTTTGAAGACCCCTCAGGCAAAGGCCCGAAGCACTGCACCACCCCCACCCCTTCTTTCCTGGCTGAGGGCAGCAGGCCCCACCCCAAGCAACAGGCCTGAGCGTGTGTCCCCCCTACCACGTCACCCGGAAACCTCAGCTCACCCCAAATCAAGCCCAAGCCCGGCTTCCTCTCCTCCCCACTCCCACTCCTCTCTTAGAGCTCTCTACCCAGGACTCCCTCACTGCTCGCCACCGCCACCCGAGGGCCTCTGCCCAAGGTGTCCCCTCTGCCCAACACGGTCCTCCTCATCCCTGGGACTCAGCTACCAGGTGGCCTTTTCTTGGAAGTCTCCCCGGGGGCTGGGCGGAGGACACAACTTTTGCACCTCCGTGTCACCTGATGTTTGTGACAGCCCGGGTTGCTTTCGAAATTAGGAATACGACCTACACACGACTTCCACCCCATCCAGCCCTCGGTCCACCACCGACGCTGGGATCCCCCTACGGCGGAGCCAGGCCCTGCAGCCCAGGCCGCTGCCTGAGGGCGGGGCGGGCGCAGGCCCACCTTCCCCGGTTCCCACCCCGCAGCGGGCGCTGCACCGCCCGGCCCGCGGAGGCCGGGGCTGTGGGAAGGGCTGGATAACGGGAAGCAGGGAAAACCGCGGGGGGCCTGGCCAGCTGCGTTCCCAGAGCCAAGAGCGCCCTCAGGAATGCTCCCTTCGGAAAAGGGGGAAGGCAGGACGTCTGTCAACCTGGGCGGCGGCGGCGGCTTCAGAGGATGGAAAGGGCGGGCCCCTCGCCGCCCCTTCCGAGCCCATCTCCCCCGGGGGGATCCAGGCGCCGCGTCCCGGGACAGGTGCCGACCGGCCCCGCCACGTCCCCACGCCCCCTCCTCACCGCACCGCCCGCGGCGGGATGCGCACCCCCCAACAGGCCCAGGGACTCGGGCGCGGCGGACGGAGCGGGGCGCCCGGTCCCGGCCCTCCGCGACCCCGCCCGGGCCCTCCTCTCGCCAGCCGCCGAGCCAGGGCGGGTCCCGGCCGCGCCCGCCCCGCCCCGCCTCCGCCCCCGCCCCCGCCTCACCTCGCCCGCTCGGCCACCGCCGCCGCCGCCAGCTGGGGCCCGGCCGGAAGTGACGCCACCGCCGCGCGCGCAGGCGCAGGCCGGGGGGCGGAGCGCGAAGGGCATGTGACCGGCGCGCGCGCCCGGGGCTGCGGGGCGGGGCTTCTGGGGGCGGGGCTTCTGGGGGCGGGGCCAGAGACCCGGGACTGCGGTGCCGGGTCGCCGGGCTCTGCGGGTCCGGGGTCGGGAGGGTACAGGGGGAGCGGCGGGAGTGGGCGCTGCGGAGCCGAGGGGGGCGGAGCTGAGGGGTGGGGACGGCGGGTCGGAGACCTGAGACCCGGGAGCCCCGAGACTGGCTCTCTGCCCTGGCGCCGCCTGCTGCACCTGTAAGCCTGGCACTGGGATGGCAGGGCCCGCTGACCACCGGAAGCGGGAGAACTGGGACGGCCCCGTGCCCAGGAATCAGGCTACCACCAGGGGCTGGGGAATGACATTTATTGAAAAAGTAAAAAGTGTCACAATAAAAAATTCACCTGGAGAAAAAGCCAGGCCAGAAGTGTGGGGGTGGGGGTTGTGCCCAGGTACGGGGTCCTGGCCAGCTGGCGGCCCTACGGTGGGGCAAGTCCTAGTACTTGGGGGAGGTGGGCACCCAACTGCTCCCCGGAGGGCCAGAGCCCTGGCAGGGCAGGGCTGGGCTCAGTCCACCCGCGTCCCCCGGAAGAGCTCTACCAGGTCCTTGAAGTCTGGGTCGATGAGGTCGGAGGGCAGGTCTCCATCGTCGTTGGCCGCGTCTCTGTCCGCCCCCAGGGAGATGAGGTACCTGGGGTGCAAAGACTGTGGTGGGTGGGGAGGCGGCCTGCAGGATGCTCACCCCAGCCCCCCGGGCAGCAGGCTGGAGTCCTGGGGTGCATCTTTTTAAAAAGTGTTTCCAGGGGCGCCTGGGTGGCTTAGTCGGTTAAGCGTCCGACTTTCACTTGGGTCATGATCTCGCGGTTCGTGGGTTCGGGCCCCGCGTCGGGCTCTGTGCTGACTGCCAGCTCAGAGCCTGGAGCCTGTTTCAGTCTGTGTCTCCCTCTCTCTCTGACCCTCCCCTGCTCACGCTGTCTCTCTCTCTCTCTCCTAGAAATAAATAAAACATTAAAAAAATAAATAAATAAATAAAAAATAAATAAATAAAAAGTGTTTCCAGGAAGTGTGAAGAGGAGGAAACTTTACTCTCCAGAGGCAGTGGCTGACTTTTCCAGTTTGCTCTAGGGAAGGCCACAGGGCAGGGAGGAGATTCTAGACACTCTTAGGGCTCTTGGCTTTACTACCAGGGCCACCTTTCCAGGGAACCGTATCCTGGAGGCCGCCTGAGGCCAGAGCAGTTGGGATGAAGGCCCTGGCCCGGCCCGCTCACCTGGCTATGTCCGGGTACCCGTCGCTGCAGGCGATGTGCAGGGGCGTCCACCCAGTCTCGTCTCGCTGGTGAATGTCAGCTCCGTACTTGACCAGCAGCTTCACGCACTCCAGGTTTCCAGAGAGCACCGCTTCGTGCAGGGCCGCCAGGCCTGGGCAGAGCAGGGCAGGAGGGGTCAAGGCTGAGGCCTTCCCCCAACACCCCACAGACCCTCGGCTGGCCCCACAGGCACTCACCTGAGGGGTGGATGGTGTCCAGGGTGACTTTCCGCGCCCGGATGAAGCGCCCCACCTGCTCCAGGTCACCCTGGCGGATGTGGTCTAAGAACAGGACGTCGTTAGGGAAGCGCACGCTGCGATCGGCCAGCATCCGCCGGCGCCGGCGCCGCGGGCTGTATCTGGCGTAGCGGCTGGTCCTGCTGGGCATCCCGGGGGCTGTGGCGGGTCCACCTTGCGGGGACCCTACTGCTCGAGGGAGGGACGTGTCCGGCCCGGATCAGACAACGCATACAGGTTCTTCCCACGCCACTGCCGCGCCTGTGCTGCCCTGCGATGAGGCTGTGCCCCTCTTATATAGGGCCCGCAGTGCTATATAAAGCTGCGCAGTCATGCTCACACCGGGAGGGGCTGAAACAGAGCAGCTCTGTCCTGCGCACAGGATCATGTTTAGTGGCTCATCTTTCAGCCCACCTGTCGCTGTGCCCCGGCCAAAGGGGTCAGATCCTTCCTGGCCACTGCTGTCTGCCCCACAGCTGGGTCTAGAAGGTGCCTTACAGAGGGCAAGAGAAGGTACTAGAAGGACAGGACCCGTAAGGAAGGCAAGCGGGTGCCAAGGTCATGGAGAGGGCCCAGGCGTCTACCACAGTCCTGGGAACTCAGGGAAAAGGGCACGAGGTCTGGTGGGGGCGGTGACCTCCACCTCCTGGAAAGCCAGGGGGCTGCCCACATCAGAGGAAGCACAGGGTCCCGACCGCGCCTGCGCGGGTCCAGCCCTACCCATCTCCCTCCCAGCCACTCTTCACCTCCCAGCTGGGCCTGCACCACCCTGCCCTCCGCCTGTGAAACTTCCCAGATGCCCCTGCTTGCACCGGCCCCTCCCACTCTGCCCGTCAGCTGGCCCTCCCCGATACGCCCTTATTTCCCTCTAGCCCCATGTCCCCCACCCCCAGTGCCCCTGGTACTAACAGCCAAGGACACACATGCTCACACTTGAGGGAGCACTCAGTCTGCTCCTCATGGAAAGGCCATCACAGCCCGGGGACGTACGCACTCTGCCTGGCCCAAGCTTCCCCGTAAGAGCCTAACCCCGGGGGAAGATGCATCGAAGACGCCTGGCAGGCTGGGCCAGCGCCAGCCGTCTTCACCGCACCAGCCAATGTCCAGAGGTGGCCTAGACTGCGGTGGGGAGAAGAGCCCGTGGAAATGAGCCTGCCCGGAGCTCCGCAGGAGCGGAGCAGGGCCAGGAGCATGCTTGAGGGGTCGGCGGGGGCAGCGCCCGTGGCACGTGCTGTTGGCTGGCTGGTGTGTTTGGGCTGCTGTGACAAAGTACCAGACTAGGGGCTTAAACAGGCTTTATTTCCGGGGCACCTGTGTGGCTCAGCCTGTTAACTGTTTGACTTTGGCTCAGGTCGTGATCTCATGGACACGGTGAGTTCGAGCCCCACATCCGGCTCTGTGCTGTGACAGCTCAGAGCCCAGAGCCTGCTGCGGATTCTGTGTCTCCGTCTCTTGCTCTGCTCTGTCTCTCGAAAATAAATAAACATTGAAAAAACAAACAAAACTTTATTTCCTCACGACTTTAGAGGCCTGAAGTCCAAGCTGCAGGCGTCCGCAGGATTGGTTCTGCCCTGAGGGAGAACCGGGCCCACCTCCTGGCCGCTGGTGTCCGTCTGTTCTCTGGCTTGTAGACACGTCAGCCCGTCTCTGCCTTCGTGTTCACATGGCCTTGTCCCTGTGTGTGTCTGTGTCCAAATTTCCCCTTTTAAAAAAAATTGTTTATTTTTTTGAGACAGAGACAGCGTGAGCAGGGGAGGGTCAGAGAGAGAGGGAGACCCAGAATCCAAAACAGGCTCCAGGCTCTGAGCTGTCAGCACAGAGCCCGACGCGGGGCTCGAACCCACAAACCGTGAGATCATGACCTGGCCTGAGCCAAAGTCGGACGCTTAACCGACTGAGCCACCCAGACGCCCCTCAAATTTCCCCTTTTTATAAGGACACCTATCATTGGATTAGGGACCACCCTGCTCTAGTGTGACCTCATCTTGACTGATCACGTCTGTGACAACCCATCACATTCTGAGGTCCTGAGGGTTAGCGCTTCAACATGGGAGTATTGGAGAGATGCAGTTCAAGCCATGACATTGGCGAGAAGCCCCCGGGGAGGGGGGGGGGTCCCTGGAGTCCTGAATAAGGACAGAACCGAGATCGACTGGCACTCTTCTTGGGGTGGGGCCGGCCGCCTGGTCACCAGCGGCCTTGCATCACCAGGCTGGTCTGGATCCAGCAAAACCAAATCAACAAATGTATTTAACACTCTCTAGGTGCAAAGCCTTGGGGCCAAATGCTGTGGAGAAGTGGGGCACCGCCTAAGACAGACTCCCCGCCCTGACGAGGTTTTCTTGGCTGGTTTCGGAGCCCCCACCTGCTGGCCGGGCCTGGTCCCCAGGGCACCCTCCTCCTAGGCGGGGCCTCGCAGGGGTCCCAGTGCAGGGCTGGTGCCTGGGGTTCCTGCACTTCAGGACTCAGAGGATGATGCTGGGTGATCTTAACTCTTGGTCACTTGGGAGGAGTCAGTGTACTTTTTTTCTGGCGTGTTTACAGGAGAAAGCACTTTCCTTTGATGTGAAGATTGCCTATTCTGGTGTTGTGGAAAGTTCTGTCTGCCCTCCCTGCTCAGGGGATCAAATGAAAGAACCCTGGATGAAGATGCCACCCAGGGCCCTTCCCGAGTGGCCAGGCCTCGGGCTAGACACAGACCAGCGCAAGCCTGTCGGCAAGCCCATCCTACTGAGGTGAGCTGAGAGCTTGGGGGCGGGGGGGGGGGGGGGGTTGGCTTTGGGGTTTTTTTCTTTCTTTTTTTTTTAATGTTTACTTATTTTTGAGAGAGACATAGAGAAAGTGTGTGAGCAGGGGGAGGGCAGAGAGAGAGGGAGACACAGAATCGGAAACAGGCTCCAGGCTCCGAGCTGTCAGCAAAGAGCCTGATGTGGAATTCGAACTCAGAAACCGTGAGATCGTGACCTGAGCTGAAGTTGGACGCTTAACCGGGCACCCCAGGCTTTTGGGTTTCAACTTGGGTCAGAGAAGGGACTGGTGCCGAAAGATCCCCCCTCCCCCCGCCCGCAGTCACAACAGACCCCCTGAAAGGTATTTAATGTGCTGTTAATTGTAACCTGGGCCTGGAAACTGTCCTCTAGACCATGGGCCTGGCCTGAAGCATCTCACTTTGGAAACCTTTTGTCAGAAGCCATCTGTGGGGGCGCCTGGGTGGCTCAGTCAGTTAAGCATCAGACTTTGGCTTAGGTGATGATCTTGTGGTTCATGGGTTCGAGCCCCACGTCTGGCTGTGTGCTGACAGCTCAGAGCCTGGAGCCTGCTTTGGATTCTGTGTCTCCCTCTCTCTCTCTCTGCCCCTCCCCTGCTCACACTCTCTCGCTATCAAATATAAATAAACATTAAAAAAAAAATGTTTAAAAAGAAGCCAACTGTGAGCGTCTCACCTGAGAATGTTGGCTGGCAAACCCTAACGTTTGTGGAACTACATCCGAACCGAACCTGAATTCGTGTGGCTTTGTTCCTGAGGCCCGTGGGAGCCCGCGATCCCATTTGTAAGACGGTGGGTCTCTGCCTCCTACAGAAACAAGCAAGCTAAAACGTTCAGTGCAAAAAGCCCACTCTGAAAAATCCGAGGGGCGCGACTATGATGCTTTTGTGCCCAGCAGGAAGCAGGAGCCCGAGAGCCCACGGGGGACTGGCTCAGGGCCCGCCTGCCCCTGTCGCTGCTGGCAGCCTCTGGGCCTGGGGACGGGGGTGGCGCCTCTGGTGAATTCCTCCGGCAGTAACTTCCTGCCACCTGGAGAGAGAAGAGGGGGGCGGGGGGGGGGGAAGAGAGGGAGGTGGGGACGCCCGGGCTGCTAAGCCTTAACTGACCACCCTGCGCCTGCCAAGTTGCCTGCTAATCCACCGGCCCTGCCAGGTTTTGGACTCCGCCCCACAGCGTCCCAGCAAACCCAGGCCCTGGAATGTGCTAATCAGCTGCCTCTGCAAAAGGGGAAAGGTATGGGTGACTCACTGCCTCTCCCAGGAGCACATGACCCCGGTGCCCGCTCCCAGCTCTCGATGCCGAGGGCCCGGCTCTGGCGCGGCTGGGTCCACAGGGTCGCCCACACCTGTCGCTGGACCCAGCAACCCCCCCCCCCCCACCGCTCCCCGTAGCTGTGACTCCTGGCAGCCTTGCTCTGTGTGGGTGTCCCCCTCTGGAGGCCGTGTGCCCCTCTGGGGGACAGCTCACACTTGGGGGGGCAGTGCTGCCATCCTCTTCCCACGGAAGCTGGACCACCCGAGTTCACCTGCAGGATGGAGGCACGACCCACATAAACCCCGGCGCAGACAAGCTGGGAGGCTGCCCGGGCACAGGCCACCCGAGAACGGAGACCGGGGAAAGGAAGCCCCGCTGTGGGTGGCTCTCAGCAAGGCCTCCCGAGCTGGGGAAGTAGCCCAGGAGCCTGGCCGGTGCTGCCCGGGGTGTGGACAGCGGGTCCTCCCTGCACACCGGCTGGGTGCCACTCACCGGGGCCGGGGACAGGAGCGGCCCCGGGGTTTGGGGCGGCCTGGATGGCAGGCTGGCCCCAGCAGGGAGGACAAGGGCAGGCCCTGGAGAGCCGTGTTCACGGCACCTCTTAAGGTCACGGGTCACGTCTCCAGCTGCGCGGCAGCACCTAGAAGCCCCGAGCATCACGTGGCATCGCAGCTGGGGGACTGGGGATTGAGTGACGTGTGCGCACTCCCTATTCCAGGGGCACATTGGAGCGGAGGGTGTGGTGGGATCCGTGCGGCGACAGGCAGGGCCCTGGGAGTCCGTTCTGTGCGCACTGTCCTTGACCTGCTGCGGACTGTGCCCCCCCCCCCCTCCTGGGACACCGTCAGGTGGCTCTCCGGCCAGGCAGTGCTGTCCTCCGGGCACACACCAAGCCCTGCCAGCCCCTACGTGGAGCTCCTCTCCTCTCATGAGGGACCCACGGGTGTGGCCAAATGCCCCCGGGCCCTGAGGGGTCACCAGGCCAGGCTCAGAAGTGCCGTCTGCCCAGCACTGCACGCAGCTAGGCGGGTGCCTTCCAGTCTGCAGATAAACCAATTCTCAGTGTGAACTGCAAGCAAGCTGAGGTTCTAGAAGTCAAATTACATTTCAGGGGCTCCTGCGGGGCTCAGTCAGTTAAGCGTCCAACTCTTGATTTCAGCTTAGGCCATCCACGTCACAGTTTGTGAGTTCAAGCCCCGCGTCGGGCTCAGGCTCTGGGCTGACAGCAAGGAGCCTGTTTGGGATTCTCTCTGCCCCTCCCTCACCCCACCCCCTCTGTTTCTCAAAATAAACATTAAAAAAAAACACACAAACAAGAAACCAGGTGAATTGCTATTCTAATAGCAGACCCTAGTTTGTGAAGGCTCGGTGAGAAGCACAGCGACACTGTTCCTCAACCACCCCTGCACACGTGCCCTCAGTCTGTTGGACCCTTCGGGGCAGGGAGACAGCTCTGACACAACAGATCCAGCCACTTCTGCCAGGGCAGCCCCACCCGTGGGCTCCCTGCATCCCGAAGAAGCTGCTGCCGCGTGTGAGCAGGATCCCCGCTGCGTGGCCGTGGCCGGATGCCCGAGGAGGGCGCCCGCACGGCCCCACCTCCACCTGGTCACCTGCAGGCACTCACCACCTCGGGCCGTGCGCACTTGGGTGACGACCCAGCGAACTCCCCACAAGACTCCCGTGGCTCCCGAGTCGGCGCCGTGTGCCAGGAAAGGTACCCTGGCGAGAAGCCAACCCAAGCCCGGTCCCTGCAGCCCAGGAAGACTGTAGAGCAGAGACAACGAGAGGTAGTAAAATTTCCATTTTATTTGGCCAATGTGTTCAATTCCAACATTGTGGTAGAAATGCCTGAAAACTGTCAACATTGGGTTCGGCTCAAGCACTCTTGACCGTTTCCCAGCCTGGAAATGGAGGGTTCTGGCTCTGCCCAGTGCAGGCCTCAGGCTACCCCGGAAGTCACACAACGGGAAGCCTGGCTCGGAAAGGCGGGGGCTGCCTGGGGCTCGGCTGGCACCCCCTCCCCCCCGGGCACAGAAGGCCCCCCACCTCTCGACCAACGACGTGAGAACCACGCGCAGCCGCGGCAACACCGGCGTGAGAGAGGCTGTCCAGCCTGGCCGGGCCCCTCCCCGCGCAGGGGACAGGAGCCTCCGGGGAGCCACAGCCAGAGTGGAACGGACACCCTGACGTCCAAAAATGTCTAAAAATCCCACCAATGGCATGTCTAACAGTGACAGGATAAACCTAACAGGAAGGAGACTTCACCTGTCTGAGATTCTAAGACATTTTAACGAGCACTTTGGACAAAACCATGTACGAAAAGGTACATCACAATTTAAAAAACAAACGGCCCACGAAGATGGGCTGGCCTGGAGATAAATCCCTTTCCAAAAATCGAAAAGCAAAAGGCGATGGGTTTAAATTTACACGGGTGTTAGAATGAAGTGTTGCTTCAGAAAAAGTTCCCTGCATTTCCGACGGACGCTCCCTCCTTCCGGGGAGGGGCCTCGGCTTCCGGAGGCCGCGCCGCTGGGTGCGCGGCCGGGAGGCGCCGTGTCTGGGCGCCAGGGTCTGGCCTCCGCGTCACAGTTCGTCCTTCACAGCTTTCTGACCGTCATCTTCCTCCAGGTCAGGCTCGTCCGCCTCTTCCAGATCTTCCAGGTCCTGGGGCGCGGGAGGAAGAGGGCGGGGGTGAGGGCCAAGCGCAGGAAGGGCGGGGCGGGGCCTCAGCCGGCTCTCGGCTCTCAGAGCTTCTGCTCACGAGACAGGGCGCGAGGGGGGCCAGGGGCCCCAGGCTCCGGGGTTGGTGGGACCAGCGACAGCCCACCGGCCACACCGCCAGCGCCGTGGCAGGCTCCCCCGCCAGACCTGCGGCCACCTCTGGGCAGGCGGGGCCGGTCCGAGCAGACCGCCGCCCTGGCTCCGGCCTCACCTGGCCCCCACCGCCACCCTGCCCCCCGGCCTGTGCACACACTCAGCTCTCCCCAGCCGCCCGCGGCTGACACACACGGGCCCAAGCTGGTGTCCAGCGGAACGCCTCAGCCAGCGGCTGGCCAGGAGCATCCGGGCCCAGGTCGGCAGGGAGCCTCGTGGGACGGGTCGAAGTCTCCTAAGCAGACGTCAGCATTTAAAGACCCCTCTTGAGCGCTCTGTACAGCGTGTTCATCAGGGAGAATGGCTTCGCAGGGCATGGGGAGGGCTTCCCGGCAGACCTCCCAGCCCGGCCCTCGGACCGCACGGCGTGGCCTAGAGGCTGGTCGGGCTGTGACCGCCGACACTGCACTTACGTCATCATCTCCGGCCCCGTCCTGCCCACCGCTCTCCAAGAACTTCTTAAAACCATCTAGTGTCCGCTCCCCGTTGTAATCGATGACCTGACGCGGAGAGAGAGAATGAATCGAGGAGCCGGCGTGCCCCGTCCCCGCCCGGCCCCCGCCCCAGTCAGAGGCACACCGTTCTGTCGGCGCCGGCGGGGAAGAACTTCAGCGTGGGGAAGCTGTGCACTTTCACGGCCTCCACCTCATTAGCTGTCGAATCCATCTTGGCGATGACAACGTTTTCGTGGTCCTTATACGTCTCTCCCAGCTTCTCCCAAATGGGAGCTAACTGTTTGCAGTGCCCACACCACGGGGCATCTGAAAGAGCAGCAGCTGAGTCACCCCCCCCCGCCCCCGCCCGAGGAGCTGCTGTCCACCCGCCCCCAGCCTGCGG